AGAGTTAATACATTTAACGGTTCATTCCACTCTACAGTGTACGAATGCATGTTTCCCATTTTAAATTGAAAGTGCTTTAATGGAGAGGAAAATAGCAACACAACTAGCAGTGTGCATACCCATTATTCATGTTCATCTATGGATGTGCAAAATTGCCTCCTGCAATCATACCTTCCTTGGTGATGAAATTCGGGCCTTCTCTTTTGAGCAAAATGTTCAGCAGAATTGCTTGGCTTGCTAGGCAGTTGCAGTCCTGATAAGGAACAGCCATAAAATGTAAATCAATAGCAAGGAAATGCCAAATGTTACAAGTTTAAGTTGCTTTTCATTGATGCTATGTACACAAAATCAGGTGTGTTTAAGGAAGGCGTCTCTTCGGAAATTTCAACTCTCTATCTCATTTCCTATGATGGTAATGACACTTAACAGGAAAAAAGACTCAGTCTATGTGAAGGAATGCTCACTTGAAAGCTTCCAGATCTATATAACAAAGTCAGAAAAATTGTAGGACATCCTGAGTTGTAAATGTTACTCTGTGGTTCTATACCACCAAACTCTAGCCTGAAGTCCTCCAGATGTTATGGACCATAACCCCTATAAACTCCAGCCAGCATTTCCAGGGGTCAAAAATGATAGAAATTGCAGTCCAAAACATCAGGAGAGCACCAGGTTGGGGAAAGCTGGTCTTAATCCCTGAATGAGTTATAGGCAAGGACTTCCAACATTTATGAAAGATTACCATAATGAAATTAAACACTGGATTCTCCCAGATTCTATCCTTGACATTGCAGTTCCTTAGAGAAACCTCTACAGTGCTTGTGGTAAAACATGCTAAGTACCCAATTTGAAGACCTCTGGACTAGATAGGGTAAACTCTATGTTTCTTCCTGTATTATCATCACCTTCCATATTTTCTGTTTTGACAAAAAGGTGAGGTTTGGGAATATTTCACAAACATTCCTGCTTGCTTAGATTAAATAAAACAGATTGTGTAGGATGCATGCCAGTGTCTATCCTCTTCAGTGAGCTGCATGCCTTAAGAGAAAAGCACAGATGGGTCACAGTATATTTAGTTTTTCCTTTATACTTACATTCAGTTTCTGAAGAATCTCATAAGTCGGCCTGTTTTTCCAGTCATTAGCATTAATATCTGGCTGTTGTTCCAGTTCAGTCAAGTGTGGTGTGCTGGTTTGTCTCTTTACTTTTGAATGTTTTGGGAGGTCAAGCTCCTCAAAACTCTTAAATTCTGGAGGCCTGCAGAAAGACAATATCGAAATCTCCCAAATCCAGTGCACATTTTAACTATCAATCTTTGTAACTTGATTTGGTGGTGGTGGGGAATCTAGTGTGGGGGCTTTGGGATGCTATAGGTTAATGTTCTACTGTAATTTGATTTCAAGCATACATACTCTTCTGTGTCACTTATTCTTAAGAAATCCAGTTGTTCAACGACTGCTCCAGAAATTATTGTCTGTAATGGAGAAGAAAGAGAATAGGAGAGTAATAATAAAAGTTAGCAAAGATATTACACTGCCCTCGTATAGGATGATCCAGAAAGACTTAACTAAGTGGGATATATCAAAGCTATTCCCTCCAACTAAAGCTTTAAATATATATATATGCTAATGAAAGTTTCCATCTTCAGGCATGGTGCCAGGTTGTTCCTGGTGAGACAAGAGAACTGCAGCTTTATGTTTCCTTATGTTGCAAGTGGCATCGGCAGGGGAATGAATTAGGGCAGACTTGACTGGGAATGACCCAGCTCATGTCCACTAGATAACAAGGAGTGGCCAGCAGCACCATCACTTATTCTCCAGCTTCCCATCCTGTCCACTCTTGGGATCAGAAAATACATTAACACTAGACACCACTGTGGATATGGGTTGAACACAGGTTAATGGCATGTGTGTTGTATGTTATTGTTTCATTTGTTATTGTGTTATACATGTTTAATTTTTATACTGATCTTCAGATAAGGCGCTGTATATAAATATAATGAACAAATGAACAAGGCAAGGAAGCCTTTCTTGCTACCCGTGCTCACTAACCTTGGAAGTATGGGCACACCTGCCTTGCTCCATGCTGGTCTTGCTTAGGGTCACTTATTGCACACTGTTTATCAGCTGCAATTTTCCAAGCAAGGGTGATTTGGAGTAGGGCTTTTAAGAGGTAAGTGGCAAGGAGAATCTGTGAGCAACAAAGGGGGGTGGGTGGGAATCTTCTTAATAAGACTAAGGGCCCAAATTGGTTATGTAACTGGAGAGGGGGCTTAGAACTATGTCCCCAGGAGGCTGGAAAAAGGAGAGAAAGCTCAATCCTGCATTGGCATCTTCCCTGGTGAACCAGCCAACAGGTGAGTGGTGCTAGTGCAAACTAAACGGCTATATCCTCCTGTCCCTGCCTTGGGAGTGCCTAACTATTTTGGATGTCAGTAAAGGTAAAGGCAAAGGGACCCCTGACCATTAGGTCCAGTCATGACCGACTCTGGGGTTGCGGCACTCATCTCGCTTTATTGGCCGAGGGAGCCGGCGTACAGCTTCTGGGTCATGTGGCCAGCATGACTAAGCCACTTCTGGCAAACCAGAGCAGCGCATGGAAACACTGTTTACCTTCCCGCTGGAGCGGTACCTATTTATCTACTTGCACTTTGACGTGCTTTCAAACTGCTAGGTTGGCAGGAGCAGGGACCGAGCAATGGGAGCTCACCCCATCGCAACCAGTATATGCTATATCCTCCTGTCCCTGCCTTTGGGGTGCCTAACTTTTTTGGATGTTGGTACTTTTGCATTAAAATTGTGGTCTTTGACATCCCAAACTGAGGTATGATTCAGCTTTGTTGACTCATTCTGGGCATAGACCAAGGAGTCACTGAAGCCGGTTAAAGCATATTAAAGAAGTTAGGAATGCACAGAGCCTTCTAGAAGCACTCCAGTACATGATGCAAACAAATTCTTTAGTAGCAGATTACTTGGATTATATTCTCGGAAATAGGATATGCATCCCTGAAGGGCCCTGCACTGCTGCCACTGCAGTTGGTTCCCCCAAGAAACAAGTCTTCCTGGATCTTTGCCCCTCAGCATAGGGGCATAGATTGGCCATAAATCACATATTGCCCAAGCAGTCTTTCAGAGCACTTACAGGTCACAGGGTAGTGAAGTTGTCTTTTAACTCAGAGGTCCTTAAAAATGTGTTAATGCCATTGCTCATGGTGTTGTATTCCTTCTCATATAGTAAGGGAGGGCTATGAAATGCCCATTCTGGATGTATCTTGGGGAGTGGATGGGGGAGAATGGGGGAGGCTTTAAAGATCTGTGCAATCTCTACCCCCTGCTCGCTTACTTTACTCATGGAGCAAGGAAGTTTGGCAATGGATTGATGTGCTCTTCTCAGATTGAAACTAGGGACTAGGTTTTTGCAGGGGAGAAGTTAAAAGACAAAGACAAAAACAAAAAAGCCCCTCAGGTCACAGGCACACTATACTTTTAAAGGACTTTTATATCACATTAACCTCAATGACTCAATGTAGTCTGCTGAAGGTCCTGAGAGTTGTTTGGAGACCCCTATTCCCCTCACAAAGCTACAATCTACAAAGTGATGTAACAATCAATTCCTCTGCCCATGGAACTCTGGGAATTGAAGCTGTTTGAGGGGGGAAAGTCTCAGTACTTTAAGAAATCCTACCAAGAGCAGCCACCTGCCTTTTTAATAGTATTGGTTCTTAGTTCCTTATGCACCTTGGCCTGAAGGGAGCCCAGCCATGTCCTTTGCATCCATTGATATGGAGTTAACCTTGGACCAGGCACTCCAGAAGAATAAAAGCTTTCAAATTAGTGCTATGCATCTTGTTGGCCAAGACCCTCTGAGAGGAAAACAGAGTACAGTAACTTCCCAGGTAAATGCTTCTGGGTTAGCCAGAGCATCTCAGCCTCCAGGATATCAGATGGAGGAGCTTTGGCCAAAAATGAATTGTTGGGCCCTGAACAATGTTCTCTTCCACTGTAAGGTGTTACAATTTCCAGACTGATATGTTCACCAGGTCCAGAAACTAGGACCTCCTAGGCCAATACAGAGCCACAAAGATGACTTCTGAATCAGAGAAAAGGGAGCGAATGCCTACATCACAGCTGATGGCCACTCCAGCTCCAAAACATCCAAATCCAAGGCATCCTGTGGTGAGCAAGATCTGGTGAGGGCTGTTAGAGAATGCTTTACATGTATGGTACAGACATGACCTATATCTCCAAAAGGGGGCTCACCAAGATATTGTTTCCTACACAAAGGCAGGAAGGCCAGATCCCTTCCTCTTAGCAGTTAGGATTTTGATTTTGAGTCCAAGCCAAGAGGAGACAGTATCCTGGATGCTGACTGACCTCCAGATGCCTTTAGGAAAATACCTCCGTATTTAATTATCCTAGTCTTTTTCTAACAACATGCTGTGCTACAGATACATAAAGCATACATCTAAGACTTTATTAGGCTTTCCTCTCTTTTCTTCCTTCTCCCTAACCCTGCCAGCTGAATTCTCTGCACAAATATTTATGTGCTATTGGAGAACAATGCTACACTTTATGCTATCAATATTTTATTAGGCACCCATACTATTTGCTATTAATTCATCAAGTAGCCACTTAACTTTTTGGCAGGGGGATATTTCCAATTAAACCTGTTTTTAAGGTCTTTCTGTTAAAAAGGGTTTCAAAGTAGTGAAGGAAAGGAAACAGATTCAGGTAGAGTGAAACTTATGTAAGAAACGATGCCACCACAATAGGATAATGAATGGAATGCAAAGACACGGTGGTTTGGTTGGAGATTTTGTTTAATGCCGATTCTGCTCTTTTCTGTTTAACTTGCGTATTCCCCTTGAGCACAAATTACAGGCTGCAAATGTGAAAATTATGGCTAAGACAGGGAACCTTATAAATTCTGCAGCTGAAATGGATGGAAATATTGTTATGCAAATATTGCAAGCTAAGATTATGCAGCTTTCCCATGAATTAACATCTAAAAGCACACACACACACTCACACACACACACACACACACACACACATATATATGCATGCATACAAATGCAAAAGCTGGAAGTAAATTATGAACATGCAGTATATATTCCCTTTAATAGATAATGCATTATCGGCATTTCACAATCTCAGTATTTCAGTTTTCTCTCCTCGTTTTAATGAAATGGATGATATCCAAGACACGACACAAGATTAATTTAGGAAATTAATGATTAAACGTTAGCAAAAGGAAATGCAGCATGATTAAAACTTGAGAAATTTAGTGTGCAAAGATCAAGTGTGACTCCAGCAACCAATCCCAAACTCTTAATTGCTGAGAGTTCTGCAAACAACACCCCCCCCCCGACACACACATCAGCAGATCTAAGCACTCTAGTAGTTTCAAAAGGCAAGGGGTGGAAATACAGCACCACTGAACCACACTTTTCCCCCATAGAAAACCTGAACTGATGTTTGCTCCAATTCAGCTTCAAAGAGTGGGTTTTCTTGGGTAAAACTTGGGGCCAAAACTAACTAGCAAACACACACACACACACACACACACACACACAGACAGACAGACTATGCTCCAGCACAGAGCATTGGAGCATGGATCTCTAGCTGGAAAGAGTGGAGTAAAAGGTGAGTGTGGGTAAACCCTAGGTTTTTTCAGAAAATGAGAAAGGGCCCACAAAGTTCCCTGAAATGGGCACCTGTGTTGGGTCCCTGATCAGAAGCGAGTAGGTGGGTCAAAGGGTGGGTGGGGCAGAGGAGCCAGACTTGAAAGAATGGGACAGGGCTCTGCACATGCACAGGAACCCTGGAAACTATAGAGCCGGCACCTAACTGTCAAAACAAATTCGACAGGCACACATTGTGCAGTGATGCACAAGGTGGAGAGGCAAGGCAGTTTCTACAACAGCATACCATCATATAACTGATTAGGTCTAACTTTCAGTCATACTTTCTTGAAGATGTTAAAAAAAATACACTACAGTGCAACGAAGCTGAGGTCACCTTCAACAACTTGTACATAGAGAATAAAGCATAAAGCAGATCTTGATTAAAAATTAGCCCATTTTTTAAAGTTAATTCCCACCATGAATAAACACACTATATAAACAGCAACAACTGTCAAAGAAATAAAACATTCTTCTAAAATGCTTATTAATTATTAAGTAAATCTACATGGAAAGGCAATGGGGGAAGGAGAACAAGTGTCCTCTGCGGACTTTGAATTAGCCCCGCTTTGAAAGAATAACACACTTTGTAGCATAGGACTGAGAAAAGTCCCATATGATAGTATGGCTTTTTAATCAGATCAAGGATTACTAAATAAAAAAGAAAAGGATGCAAATTCCCCTGATGTCTGGAAATAATAAAGCATGCACACGTATGAGCCACACATATTACTGTAAGATTTTATCCCAGCAGGAACAAAATAAAGATAATTAAAACCAACAGGACCACCTAAACTACTGTACTTTCTGTCTCTCTGTATTTCAGGGCAGGATGAGCAATGAGAAACGGCTCGCCTGGTTTCCAAAAACAGCAGCAATCAAATTTCATTTGGCAAGGCTACATAGTTGCACGTACAAAAAGGCCAGCTTACCTGTAGCCTGTCAACATGAACCTTTACTCCACCAACAACTCCCTTCTTGAAACTGGCCAGCATGTCAAGTATCGGATTGAATCTGCTTCCCCTGACAGTTGGAAAATGAAATGCATCAATAGGGCAAACTTTAACCATCTAGAAGTGATAGGGGTTTTTGCATCTGTTGAGGGCTTACCTTATATTGTCCTCCCGAATAAGCACAAGGAACAGGGGGCGGCCATGCATTTTCCAGTACTGTTTAATGAACTGCAAAGCATTCTGCATAAATACAAAAACAACAATAAATGAGAGGAGGGAGCAGAATGGTGCAACTAGAACACTTCAACTACAGGAAACTCATGAAATGTTCAAAACAGGTCAGGAAGATTTCATTTCATTTATTTATTCAAAAATCATAAAAGCATTTCTGAACTGACCCAGTGAGGGGATTATTGCAAATGATTTTGCAACACAGAGGGTTTCACTACATGCAAATTGCCAGATCAGGCCATTCAAAAGCCCAAGGACCAAAAGGAAAAGAAGAGAGAAATGACATTTGGTGCATGTTGTTCCGAAGTTCCCAGAACAGCCCTTATGAGCCAGCAGATGCTGATTGGGAGTCAACAAAATCTCTCATTGAAGAGCTGCATTTCAACTGCTGTCTCTCCCCATGGCCCAGCCAAGAAAGGTCTCTTTTGACAGGTGACCAGTTTTCTGTAACTGCCCCCATGTTGCATCAGTCACACTTCTCCCTATCCATGAATGTATAACTCTGACGCCTACCTATGCAAGCATGTATTGTTACCAACTTCAATCAATTTAATATCCACCATCCCCATATGGTGTCCAGCCTGCTCTCTCATAGCACAGAACACTGCAAATAATTCTGAATTTCACAAAGTGGGTGATAGTGGGTGACTACTCTGTAATACTTTCCAATGACTGCTGTAAAGGTAAAGGGACCCCTGACCATTAGGTCCAGTCGTGGCCGACTCTGGGGTTGCGGCACTCATCTCACTTTATTGGCCGAGGGAGCCGGCGTACAGCTTCAGGGTCATGTGGCCAGCATGACTAAGCCGCTTCTGGCGAACCAGAGCAGTGCACAGAAATGCCGTTTACCTTCCCACCTATTTATCTACTTGCACTTTGACGTGCTTTCAAACTGCTAGGTTGGCAGGAACAGGGACAGAGCAACTGGAGCTCACCCCGTCGCAGGGATTCAAACCACCGACCTTCTGATCGGCAAGCCCTAGGCTCAGTGGTTTAACCCACAGTGCCACCCGTGTCCCAATGACTGTTGTAGCTGCCCTTTAATATTCTATTATACCCCCTTTCTCAAGGCTGCCTATCCTCTGCCTTCATGTTTGCCCTAGATGTGTCATTTGAAATGTTGGAAATGTTCTACATCTGTGTAGGAAAAGGCATGCAAACCCCACTGATGTTCTTGTGCAAATCCAAATGCAGCAACATTCACTGTGCTGTGAACATAAGATCTGTGCACCCCCAATTCTGGCTTCCCCAGAATTAAGACAGTGAGGCTTAGTTTCAAGTAAGCAAACATGGAGTTGTAGCCTCAAAATGAAAACTGTGTTCCCTCCTTATCAGGGTTGCAGCCTAATGAGTTATTGCTTAAGTTTTAAAATGTAAAACATTTAATGGGCACCAGGTTTTACATGTGCACATTTACACCTACCTTAATGTCATCAATCAGCATCATCACATCCTGAGACATGAAGAAATCACTTAGATCAAAGATTATTGGGTAGCAAACAACAGTCTTACCAAGGATTCGATAAATCTGCCGAAAGGGAAAAACAAACATTTCCTTTAATACTGTACATAGGATACTGTTAACCAAATCTTATGAAGAAGAAAAAATCCATATTATGTTTTATAATTAAAACTCGGCACTAAGACAAATCATGCAAATGAAGGAAGCTTTTATCTCCATTTTGAGTGTGGCATAAACTTTCATGGGCAAGTGCCTGACTTTATCATATGCATGAAAAATTTCAGGCAAGTAACCACAGAGGTGACTTTTCCTTAAAGAATCTGGGCAAAGCCTTTGGTAAACTTAAGCCATGTGAATTGCTTTCAGAGTTTAGAGGATAATTCAATTGTCCTCCAATATTTACACGCAGACCTCCTCCACTATTCACACTAATGAAAGCATGCAGAAGAGCCATTTCTTGCACGGACCTTTGATGTTCCAAGGCAGCCTACTGGTCGGTCAGGTCTTCCCGAGAGTCCCAGTTTGTCATTGACCCCCAGATGGAAGTAAGCCTGTAAAAACATCACAATGCACAAAGTCTAATGCACGAAACGCAGCTTGCATGCTGTTTGGCAGTATTTATTTGCTACTGGAATCCAACAGGCCTTTTTAAAGTTCTAGCTAGAAATAAAAGATTTCAAACTGGCTCCATTTTAACATAAATACTTTTTATTGATATAATAGTCCAAAAATACAGTCTAACATAAATAAATATTGGGGAATACTGGGCCATACAATGTTAACTTAAATTCCTCAATGGGCTTTCAAGAGGCCCAGGGGGGGAAACCAGAAGAGTTGCACAGGTGGACTCATAGCAACTAAAGGAAGGTGTCCAATGGACCCTTATAGCCTAACAGGGTTTGGTTTTCCTAAAATAACTTTAAAAATAAAAAATCACTGTTGCAAGTTTGTGCTGTTAAGATAAAGTCAGCTTGCAGCAGAATTACCGTAATCCCTGATGGAAAATTTACTCACAGGTGCAATGAGCACCTATACGTATCTGTAATACATGTGTCTGTGCACATGTGTGTGTGTTGTTGTTGTATACAAAGAAATGTAAAAGGTTGTCGTTGCAAAATGACAAAAAGCATCCCCTTCAGTATTCTTAAGGGATTGAAGTAACAACCAAATGATGCAGGTAAGATGCCGTTTTCCCTACCCGAATTTGATAAGTTGTTGAGAGTTTGAAAAGAGCCCAGCCTTTTCAGTGGTGGCTTCCCACTTGTGGAATGCCCCCACCCTGGAGAGGCTTGCCTTGCGCCAGAATTCCATATTTTTATGTGCCAGGCAAAATCATTTCTTTTTCAACAGGCCTTTGGCTTTTAATTATCTGTGGCTGCCTTGAGCAGGTAGGATGTTTTAATTCTGTCTTTTAAAAATAATATTGTCTTTTAGATTTGTCTTCGTTTTCTCTTATGACAATTTTAATGTGTTTGTTTGTGGATACGTTGTTTATATATTTGAGTGACCTTGGTGAAAAAGCGACCAACAATTTAAACTAAAAACAAACGAACAAATAAATGTCCCATTCATTTAGATAAAAGTAAAGCCTTGATAAGTTAAACACTCACTGAATTGTGTGTGTGTGTGTGTGTGTGTGTGTGTGTGGTACTCATCAATATGGAGTACCAGAACCTCTCTTTTTTTTGCACTCACGACACTTTTATCACTATATGAGTACCAACACCTCATTTCTTTTACCAAAAAAGGAGCACTGGTTGATTAGATGTATAAATGGTTGAATATATACATAAATCGTTGACATATATTTCAAGCAGCTGCTGGGGTAAATAGCA